CAAGCAGCTAATGCACGAGGCGCTGAAGCTGCGGCTGAATCTGGTGAGCTGTGGGGCACAGACGGGGTCTCCCTCCTGCCTGCTCCCCAGATCTGGAGCTCCCTTTGCTCCCCTCGTCCCTCCCACAGAATTTCCCTTTTCAGGGAGCCCCCTTCCAGTATGGGGAAGACTGCCCTGGACAGGGGAAGACACACAGCCCTTGCTGTCTCTGCTCCCCCCCTGGCCTCCTTGTGGGCAGGGAGCTCATGTGGTCCTTCCCGCCAGGTGGGGGGCATGTTCGACACAGTGCAGCGCAGCACGCAGCAGACCACAGAGTGGGCAGTGCTTCTCCTGGACATCATCAGCAGTGGCACGGTGGACATGCAGTCTAACAAGTGAGCCTTTCCTTCCCCCGGATGTCTCCCCCCCCCCCCCCGGCCCCTCAGCAATTCTGTTGGGGCACGGGGTTCCAGCACCTTAGAAGTGCCCCCAGCCAGTGGTGAGTTCCGGATCCCGTTCCAACCGGCAGCGTACCCTTGCGTCTTAGCGGCTCCGCGGCCCTCTGCGACGCTCCAGCTGCTCAGCGGAGTGTCGCGTAGGTGCTCTACGCACCATGCGGGGAAGTGCCAAAGACTTAAAAGACAGGTAAGGAGCTCAGGCGGGCGGGTGGGCCCTCCACAGCACCGTACCGGAACGGTATCCTGTGCTCTGGGCAGCTCCGGTACACGCGTACCGTGGCGTACCGCCTGCAACCCACCACTGGCCCCAACGTAAACAGCCCCATCCCTGTGCACAGCGGGGCAGGGGCCATGTGAATTGGCAGCCCTCCCTCCCTGCACAAAGCCTGGCGGGGCCAACGGGGCTTCTGCTGCCCCCGCCCCTCACTGACCGCCCGTCCCCTCCGGCCCTGATCTTCCAGTGAGCTCTTCACCACCGTCCTGGACATGCTGAGCGTGCTGATCAATGGCACTCTGGCCGCCGACATGTCCAGCATCTCCCAAGGCAGCATGGAGGAGAACAAGCGGGCGTACATGAACCTCGTGAAGAAGCTGCGGGTAAAGCAGAGCCCCCCCCCCATGCCCCCTGGGAGGGAAGGGTCACCTGGCGCTTGGGTCTTGCTCGACTTCTGCTTTTCTCCCGGGTAAAGCTCTTGGGCCCCAGGGGCCGGAGGGGGCCAGCCCAGGGCCCCTGTGCAGAGCCCCGGGATGAAGGGCGGCACGGCTCTGGGTGTGGCCCAGCTCCCATTGCAACGGCTTCCTCCTCTGCAGAAGGAGCTGGGCGACCGGCAGTCGGAGAGCCTGGAGAAGGTGCGGCAGCTGCTGCCACTGCCCAAGCAGACACGGGACGTCATCACCTGCGAGCCGCAGGGCTCCCTCATCGACACCAAGGGCAACAAGATTGCCGGCTTCGACTCCATCTTCAAGAAGGAGGCAAGTGGCTGTCTGGACCTCCGGCCGGGCGGGAGGCGAGGGGACTGGCAGGTTTCAGAAGGGGGAGGGGGCAGTCCCCGGAGCCCACCGCGGAGTTGCCATGGCTGTCCTTCCTCTCCCATCCTCCTCCTCCTCTTCCTCCTCCTCCCAGGGCCTGCAGGTCTCCACCAAGCAGAAGATCTCCCCCTGGGACCTCTTCGAGGGCCTGAAGCACTCCGCCCCGCTCTCCTGGGGCTGGTTCGGGACGGTGCGGGTGGACCGCAAGGTCTCCCGCTTCGAAGAGCAGCAGCGGCTGCTCCTCTATCACACCCACCTGAAGCCCAAGCCCCGCAGCTACTATCTGGAGCCGCTGCCTCTGCCTCCCGAGGAGGAGGAGCCCCCCACCCCAGTGGCCCTGGAGCCGGAGAAGAAGGTGGTCGAGCCGGCTAAGGTGGAAAAGGCCAGTGCCAGCGCCGGCAGCTCTGCGGCCGAACCCAAGAACAAGAGTAAGAGCAAGAGCAAGAAACGGGCCCAGCCGGCCAGCAAGAACGAAGTGAGTCCCCCTCCCGCCCTCCCCCCCCTTACCTGCCCGGCCCCTCCCCCTGCCTGCCTGGCCTCCTCACAGCCTTTGCCACCCCCTCCCACCACAGGAATACCCGATGAACGCGGTCCGGGGCGTCTCCTACGGTGCCGGCATCCCCAACGACCTCCTGCATCACCAGCCGGGGAACTCCATGTCTCGCCTGGCCTACGGGCAGCCTCCGGTGGGCCTCTATGCCCAGAACCAGCCCCTCCCCGCAGGTCCGAGTCTGGCGTCTCTTTGAGAGTGGGACCCCTCAGCTCTCTCCCTGAGTCTGGATTATGGTGTCTTCCCCGGGAGAGCCAGGACAGGGAGCCTGGCAGAACAGACGGGCTTCCTGCCAGGCTGCCCCCAACCTCCCTCAGGGCTTGGGACGCTGACTGGGGCCCCTAACCCTAACCCCTCTTCCACCTGGAGGTGCCCAGCAAAGACCCGCTGCTGCTTCTCCTTGCAGGCGGCCCTCGGTTGGACACGTCGTACCGGCCGGTGCGCATGCCCATTGGCAAGCTGGTGCCCAACCGGCTCCCCTACGCGGGGGTCTTGCCAACCGGCATGAGCATGCTAGGAATGGACCCTTCCTATAAGTCAGCCGTCTACAGGCCGCAGCAGCCTCCTCCTCCTCTGTCCGGGGGGACTCTCCTGCGCCAGCAACTGCAGGCCAAACTGGTAAGATCCCCAGGTGTGTGCGTGGGAGGGGTTGCACAGTATGGGTTCCCACAGCCCCTAGGGGGCGGAGTTATTGGGGCATCCCCCCCACCCCTGGTCTTCCAGAAGAGGGAGGAAGAGCAGAATGGACTCGGTTATTCTGCTTCTCGGTTAGCAGGGCCCAAAGTCATTGGGGGGAGCATTTGTGGCCAGAGGGAAAAGTCTCAGAGCTGGCGAGGGTCCCTGCCCCCCTGCAGGCACCAGCTGTGCCCCAGCTGCCCGTGCCATGCCTCCCTTTTGCCTCCCCAGCAAGGCCAGGGGATCCTGGGGCAGCCGCCAGTGCGCCAAATGCCTCCTACTCCAGCTTACGGAACCGGGCAGGCAGCTCAGGTGAGCCCTTCGCTGCCTTCCAGGAAACTCTCCTGGCCTTTGGGGGCTTTTGGGGTGGGCAACTGGAAAGGAAGCTCCAGTCCTGGGGTGGGGTGGGCTGAGCCTGGTCTCTGTTTGGCGGGAGCACCAGACAGCAGCCGCCTTTCTGTGTGAAGCGGTTGGGCAGTAACTCACCTGTCCCTTCCTCTCCCTGCGCCGCCTCCCCTCCCTGTAGGGCTACACCCCCTACGGGGTGCCCCACCTCAGCCTCCAGCAGCACCCCTCCCAGGCAAGCGCCATGGTCCCCTCGACGTATTCCGGCCAAACCTATCAGAACAGCCACCCCAGCGCCAACCCCGCCTTCGTCGACGCCGTCCGGTCCATGCAGAGGCCCGGATACGTCCACCAGCAGGCCCCTGCCTACGGGCACGCCCTGAACGCCGCACAGAGGTACCCGGGCGGGGGGAGGGAAGGAAGGGGGCTGCAGGGACGGCATCGGCCCCTACCTGAGGTCTCTGCCCAAACAGCCGCTCCGGTCTGCTCCCTGATGCCCGTTTCTGTCCATCCTGCGCTCCAGGTTCCCCCACCAGCCGATGCAGCAGCCGACCATGATGGGCAGCATCAACCACCTGAGCACGCAAGGGGTCCCCACGGGGGTCCGGCCCAGCCAGCTTCTGCCCGACCAGCAGCAGCAGCAGCAGCAACAACAACAACAGCAACAGCAGCAACAGCAGCAGCAACAACAACAATACTTGAGGCAGCAACAGCAGCAACAGCAGCAGCTCCGGGTGAGCAGGCAGGGAGCCCCCAGGCGCCTCCTCTCTCCGTGATGATGGGGCGAGGCGTCTGGGGCAAAAGGGGAGGGGTCTAAAAGAGGGGAGGTGCCTCAATGGCTCCTGCTCTGAAGGAGGCCACCCTCCCTCCGTCTTCCCGCGCCGAGATGGCGCAGTGGTTAGGGTGCAGTACTGCAGGCCATTTCAGCTGACTGTTATCTGCAGTTCAGCGGTT